CGTTTCTATTCTTAATCATTGCTATATTTACTTTTGTTAACGCAGTGAATCACAAGTTCTTTTCTTTCTTAGTTCCTAAAGTGATATGAATGAACCATTTATAGTGCCTTAGTCACTAAAGATTGCTGGAAATTGTCGATTATTTCACCATGTAATATACTTTTGAAAGTATACTTAACTGCGAAAAATAGAGTATTTTACCCTTGGAAGAATCGCGTCCTTATCTCGTTTCACCTTGTCTTTCTAAGGGAGTATAGAATGCCTAGGACTAAAGAAAGGAGTTTCGGCTTGGATTTTGATTATGTTTATTGCTACTAGGAATCTGATTTTTTCTACAGGACAAAAACTTATTTTGGTAATTTAATTACAGGAAAATATAGTGATTTCCCTAACGGCTACATGTAGAGAAGGTCTCGCCTTTCATTGAAATTCATTTCGCTATTTTCATTTAGGCTTGATTTCTTTGGCATAATCGTCTCATCCACGTCCCAGCGGAATTCGAAATCATCATGTGAAATTTGGGGGTTAGACACGTTATTACCCCTGCTGCTCAACTATAAACACTTTGGATTACATGATCAGCATACTTTTCAAGGTAAAAGATGCCTCTTTCAGCTGTCGACATCCCGCATTTGATATTGCATTTTTACGTAGATTTGGCGTTTCCGTTTCTGAGCTTGATTTTTTTTCAAAAAATAATGCATAAGAAAGGTCTCTTCAAAACCATAAACATTATTTCTCTGAACTTAGCTTGTTGAACCCGGAATATGGAGGGAAATTTCATCAATCACTCGTCTTTGGCCTTCTCAACAATTCACTTTGAAGCTTTCTAAAATGCCTGATATTGAAGTTAGGCTGTCACATACTGTAGTATACTTTATTGCCTAGAAACTTCATTTCATTCGGCGTAGGTAAAAATTGATGTTCCTTACTAAAGTCCTTAAGAAAAGCCCAAGAGCGAATATTAATATGGAACATGTAGATAAAGAGATATTCTGAGTCTCCGCCCTGATAAGGGAAATGAGTCAGTGTGTTCAAGTAGAAACTGCAATATATCCCAAATATATACTCCCTTTTAGCCATTCTTACAAGGTTTATGGAATAATCTGGCGCATTGATAACATTGTTTATGTCGAACCGGACATTATTTATGGATGCAGGCAACGGTCGTCATTAACTTTATTTATGTTGATCTTTTATGAGTGTATAAAAGTGTATTCGCTTGACCTGACCCCAATATCCTGTTCGCCCTTGCCTCACGCTTACTGGGCCTTTTGTCTTGCCAGATTTGCTATTATTTTCCTTCTTATCTACCTTCCATCTCTGATTTTTATCGTTTCCCTATTTCTGGCAGCCAAACTCTCTACAGAGTCTCCATTGGAGCAGCTTCATTCTCCAGTAGGCTCGGTAGACATCGCCGCCCTTGGTCACCGAACGCCGGCGCCCACAGCCTCTACCAATCTTCGCATGCCTTTGGTAGTGCCACATCCCAGACCAATGCGTCATCGTCTAGCACAACCACCGACTCCGAGGCTTTGTACAAGTCCGATCAACACAAACAACAGTAATGTACCAGCTTCACGCGGTTGGCTCAACCTATTGGGAATTGAAGCCAGTGAAGCTTTCGATCCTCAGGCAAGAAAGTCTCCTGAAAACATGCATTTTGAGCCCTTCGAGGAGTCCCATGACCTGGCGGATGCCTGGCCGATTCAGCCGCGCCCCACATCTCCATCCCTTGTTGTCCCCATGATCCGGTCTTCTGCCAATACTGCAAATAGCATCAGTGCCTGTACACTTCATCCACTTCCAAGGATCACAGCTTCACATGGTGCTGGGCGCCGTCGTGAGTCGGTTAAGTCTACACTACACAGGATTGGCAACAGCCTCGACTGCGAATCGACGGCAACACGCACTGTCAGTCCCGATGGCCTCAACCTCTCGTCGTCAGCGTCGATGGCCACAAGGACGTCGTCTGCCCTTCTCCTGCCAGCCTCAACGTCAAGGTCGCTGCAATTTGACACTCTTCTGAGTCCAGAGGCCGGCGGCTCGAGCCCTCAATTGGCCAGTATCGGCATGGGGAAACGTACCTCATCTATGAATATGCCCATCATGGTTGGTCCCCTTGGTCTCTAATTTCATTCGTTTAGTACTAAACATAAGTCTAATAATAAAGTACAATAATATATATATATATACTTTTCACAGAGTTAAACTCTAGTTATATCAGAAAGCTGGTCTGCTACAAAAGGTTTCATCCGTTTGGTATTCATCTAGACTTTGAGTTTTTGATAAATATCTTTAGATATATACATCGTCGTTATTATTCCGATAGAGACATCTAAACTTAAGTCAAATTGACATCGAAATGAGCCTAACGAGCTATGTCATATTTCTACGCTACATTTGACAACCAAGTTGTCTAAATTAGCTTGTTTTTATGCTTGTATTCACCCTGGTTGTTGAATTTTACCACAAGTAGTATGAGATGTATTCACCCAATTTCGTTTAAGGTAGACCTTAGGCTTTTGTAGAATTGCACAGCTTTGCTTCCCGAAAAGTATTCTCATCCAGAGTGAACTGAAATTCTCATCTGCTCTGTGAGCCAAGGGCATTCGTGGCAATGTGGCGTGGTAGTTAACGTGTCGAGATTATGCGTTGTACTGTCCTGCTTCGAGTCACGCTGTGTGCGCTGATAAGGCCTAGGCGATGTCGAAACTGAAGTCCACTCCAGCCTAGATAAGCATAACTTTTGGGAAAGCAAGTTTATGTGAAATTAAACGGAAATGTAGGGTATACTCATTTCATTGTAGTAAAAGTGCGACTATCCCTTATCAATTTAAACAGAATAGGATAAATACACTTTTTACATAAATGATGTACTGGTAGTCTCACATACTTATAAACGAAACAAAGAATTGTTTTTCTTGTGCTTTGCGAATGTACTTTTATTACCAGTCAGATTGAGGAAGATAATTTTTGGTAATAATGGATTTCGAGCCTTGTTCCTAAAAATGCTATTGTATCCAAACTGGAGTACAGTTTCGATCTCATTTTCGTCGTATTAGCAATACTCCTAATGGGATTCGATATCGTGTGGCTGTAGTGCAGTAGTAACGTTACCACTATACTTACGACCTGATATCGAATCCCACTAGGGGCGCTGACAATAAGGCCTGAGCGAGGATGAAACTATAGTCCATCTTGGATAAAATAGCTCATTGGGAGGCAAGGTATAGTGAAACACAATAGCATCGTGAAGCCTACTCTATTTCATTGTGGTACAACTCAACTATCCGTCCTTAAATCGCATAGGCTGGTTA